TAGCGGTAATCGTTTTAGAAAGCATTTACTATTTTGGGATAGCAGCGAAATTGTTTGATGTTTGTTTTCAGAGAAGGGGAGGGGAGAGGGGTAGTCTGTCTGACTATTTCGTTTCTCTTTTTTGCTGACGACCTGATTTTGAATAGTCAATCCAGTTAGTCTTGCTTGATCTTCTTGATCTCCGCGCAAAGATAATTCAATATCAACTATAAACAAGGTAAGTTAGCTTTGTGCATTTTACGGTTGCCGACTTACTTATGACAGTTCTGTGTTGCTGTTGCATTAGATTGTTAGTGAAGGAGTGGGAGATGGGAAAAAAAAAACAACAAGAAGCAGAAAGTCAAGGAAAAAAAAGTGGAGCAAAAACAATTTATAAATTTTATTTTTTTTTCTTTTTTTTTTTTCCAGTTGTTCATTTTTTTTGCAATGCGTTTTCCTTTTCTGTTCCTTTTTCAGCTAATAAAGCTGAATATTTTTCTAACGACTAGCAGATCAGTAAACCGTTCTCTGATAGCTTCATTGCGATTTAAGTATAAGAAAAAAAAATACACCACACAGTTTGCTTGTCGATGGCAGTTGTGATGATGGTGCTAATGGATAAACATTTTTTTCTTTTATTAGTTTAACTTCTGAACGGTATTTATCAGCTACAGTTTTTTTTACACTATTTTTCAGAATTCTGTGTCTGTGTATTATCGTCATTGGTCATCAGCTCATTTTTGGTTGTTTGTTGCACTGAAGTCGACAAATTTTTTTGTTTTAAGAGAACTAATGAAATGTTGTTGTTAGCTTATTTGCAATTTGCAATTTTCTGTCTTTTTTCCAATCATTTTCCGTTTTTCAATTTCAGCGTTAGTTGTATGAAAGTGTTGCTAGCTTGTCTCATACGCTTATGCGGTAATACTTAGCTAAATTAATGCTAAATTACTAAGACTTAGTCGGAATAATCTTAAATTACAAGTTTTTTACTCTGTTTTTAATATATCATTTTCAAAAGTAATTTCTAAAAACACTTGCTGTTGAAAATCGCTTAACTGATAAACCGTTGATTTGTCTTGTTAATTTTAGTCTTTTAACAAACTGTTGTCGAAGTGATAATGAAGAAATGATTGGCGAACAAAAAAAAAATTTAGATCACCAAATCCAATAGTCGAACAAAGAAAAAAGGCCTTGTTTTGATAGTGCACATGTTTTTTTTTTTTTTAATATATATTTAGTTTATCTAAATTTGAGTTAAGCGTCTAAAAGTTTTTACTGTTTATTAAATTTAGTGATCATTTTAGAAGCAATTAAGTAGGTCTGTATGCAAAAAAAACTTATTAGTTGAAGAAGCAGGTGTTAAAAATATTTGACAGTTCCAGTTCTTCAATCATTTATCACAAAACCTGTCGATCAAATAAGGAAAATAGAGACGAAGGGGAAAAGGGGAAATAGCAGAAAATGGAAAGGAGCTTTAGCGATAAATATTTGTCATTTTTCAGTCATTTGACAAACGAATTTTTTTTTATTTGTTTTTGTTTCTTTTCGAATTGTTGTTTCGAATTAGTCTTGTAATTTGATTGTTGCTTAACTGAAAATCAAAGTTTATAAGAAAAAAGATAAAGGCAAGAAATAAGGTAGTATAAAAATTATAAAAAAAGATTTTTTTTTTTTGATTAATACAGCAAATATGGCTGAAGTTGTTTTTGTTTCATATTTTTGTTGGGTGATACTCAATGATATTGGGGGTGATCGACACACAACAAATTTATTCTTATTATTTGTGGTTATACTCGTTTTTTAAGTTTAGCACTTTTTTCTTATTATTCTTTTTTTTAAGGATTATCTTTACTTGAACTGTTCAACAGATATATATATATATATCAAGTTTTGCAACCGAAAACTGCTGTTTTCAAGTATCGCTTTTTAGTGCTGTTACATTTTCATCAGAAACTACATTTTTTTTTTGCATTGAATGAAGGTGTTATATGTGTTGATCGTTAACAGTTATTTTTTCCTTCTCATTTACGTGTTTGTGAGCGGAAAACAAGGTAAAAAAAATTGAAAAAACTGAAGTAAAGGTAGGTAAAGATAGCAAGTGTAGGGGAAAAAAAACGTAAGGGCAGCGACAAATAATAAGACGATGTTATGGTATTTTATTTTATTTTTTTGAATTATCTACGCGTTATTTGACGTTCCTTGTCTCTTCAAACTTGTAAACGTCTGCTTTAGTTGACCCGGATATACCGATTCAATTAATCCAAAATAGTACAAAAGGAGAAAAAACTGTACATTTTTTAGGTTAGGTAGTTTGGTGGAAGAAGCTGAAACAGGTCCGTCTGAAAGCAATGCCATTTAGCGAAATGTCGTGATGAATATTGCTCATAGGCCGGATCTACCATGGCCTTTCTTAAAGAAGGTTCTGGTTTTTTATTTTATTCCATTTTTCTTTTTTTTTCACTTTTAAGTGTAGACTGGTTGATCTACAAACGTAGCTTTTTGGCATTTTCTAGTCAGAGAAAAAAAAGTCAAATTGAACTGTTGAATTAAGTTAAACTTAGTCGCTATTCTTTTTAAAAGCAGAAATTCATGGAAACAACTTAGTGTATTTGTTTGAAATAATATCAGTCATTACGTAAAATTTCTTGCTGAACTTTTACTCCGGCAGGAAACTTTTTTGGTCAAATAGTTGTATTACAAATTATGCAAAACATTTTCTATATTGAAGACTCTTAAAAACTTTTAATTTTTTTCTTTTTTTTTCGTAAATTTTTTAAAGCAGATTATAAAATTTACCGGAACAATTCTTTGTCAAAGTAATATTTGCAGAAAAAATTTTTACTTTTTGCTTTTTATTTTACATAAATTTTTTATTAAAAATTAAAGAACTTTGAACGGTAGCAGGCAACCAAGCGATAGTGAGAACATTTGACCACTTCGAATGCTAGTATAGCTTTTTTCTTCTTGTTTTTAACAAAACAAGTCTTAGCCATTTGATAAATTGCCTAGTTATTTTTAACATTACTGTTTGACTATTTAATTTCGATAAATTTTTTATATCTCATTTTTTTTTCTAGTCTGCAAGGCGTAATTTTGGTTCACAGATAATCAAATTTTGTTGAATAAAGCAAAAAAAAAAAATATTAGTTAGATGTTATAACTAGGCCAATATGTGAAATGTTGACTATAAACAGCAAACTGCATTCTGCAGTGGTTATCAGTTTTGCATTTTTCAGTAGTTAAATTCATCAGATAATTAGATTATTGCAACGCAGTTACTGCTGTTCAGTTAGTACCATCAAATATTTCGCATACTGTTCACTGACCTCAAAAAGCGGCATAAAATCGTTTTAAGAATTGAATACAGTTTTGTTCATACTTGTGAACACAGCAAATATATCATACTTATAAAGCCAATGTCAGTAGCCTTAACATAAAAACATTGCAACTGTACAGATGTATTGGCAGTAGAGGTGATAAATTATATAGATTTTATCAACAACACAGTGATAACTAAGAAAATAAATTTTTTATGCTTCTAATACTTTAGACACTTTTTTTGCTGTTTATATGCATTTAATGTTGCTTTTGTACCCAGCATTTGAAATCTTATTTTCAACTGGTTAAGCAAAAGAATAATAAAAAAATGCACAATTTTTTCCTTTCTTCGATTCTATATTTTTGTTTTTTTTCCTTCTGATTTTGGTAAGAAACGAAAAGATTTGAAATTTTTGATAGAAACTCGATAAATGTTGTTTAAAGAAAAATTGATTAATCGAATAACTGTTGTATATAAGTAGTGAACGAAGTGCAAAAGAATGGGAGAGAGGAGATGAAGCGGGAAGAAGGAAGGAAGAAAAGAGTAAATAATCAGGCTTAAATTTGTGTGGCATCTGTAAGAAAAAAGAAATATAACTAAATTACCAGAAAAGTTTATTGACAGTTGACCATAGGATGAGCAGATTATAATTTTTTTTTTTTTGTTTTTATCATTTTAATGAACTAAAATAACGTAAAAATGAGTCGTGTTTTGCATTGAGGGATTGTCGATAATAAAATACCATAGTGAATGAACGATAAGACAACAGTTTGAACACAGATTACTGATGTTGCAAGTACACCATTAAAAGACAAATGTTCTTCTCTTGTCTCTTAATATTCTTTATCTGACTAACTCTCAAAGGTTTTGATTTTTTTGGATTTAAATAATATTTATTGTACTAAAATTTGAACAGTTATATTAGTAAGTAATAAATTAATTTTAAGTTTAGAAAAAAAAGCAGACAAAGTTGAAGAGGTTTCAAAAAAAGTAAATGCATAGACACTGTTAAAAAAATGGTCATTTTTTTGTGCATTTTCAGTATATATTTTCTTTCTTTCTTTTTTTTTTTTTTTTTTTTTT